ATATTAAAAGTTATCAATAATTTATTGGTCAAGTATATTACAAAAGGCATTGTTCCTCACAATAATGTGTGAGTGTGCTTGATAAAAAATACTAATTTTGGCCATCTCCCCGAAAAGGGCGTATTTTTTATTTTCCCCGGACGTTAAAAAGTCAAGAACCAGCCCTACATAGGTATAACAGTGAAATCCAATATTTAAAGTTAAGTTTTTTAAAACACTTATAAATATTAAAATAAAGAAAATAGATATATTTTTCATTAAAATTTTTTTTTTATGAAACATACATACATACGTGGTTAAAAAAACATTAGATAATAACAGTACATTAAACTTTAAGCCCAAAAACATATTCATAGTTCAATGTTTTTCAGTAAAACAGAGCACATGTATGAAACCTTGTAAGCATATCAATTGTTATACCTTAAGATTCCACAAAAAATGTATCTTTTATGAAACTAATACCGGTTTCAACGAAATGGTGCTTTGCATTTTACTACATAATAAGAAATTGATTACGTTATCCACAAGAACACGCGAGCACGTACCTACAAACCAGTGTTGGGTAGTAACGAGAAAGTAATGAGTTACTTTTCTATTAGTAAAGTAAAGTAATTTCATTACAATTTTACTTGAGTAACGAGTAAAGTAACTTAATTACATTTATCTCTAGGTAGCGAGTAAAGTAACTTACCCACCACTGCTACCAAAATTATTTTAATGTTTAAGCCGCAAAAAGAGGCAAAGCGTCTGAATGGATTAGTTGATAATTTGCAGGTTAAGTATTTCTCACTTTCCGGTTCATATAATACCGTGCGAATTCTAAATTCAGTCGTGCAAATTCATGCCAATTGCGTGCTAAATATTGGCATAGAAAAATTCTCAAAATTCTTAAGAATTCAAGTTGGGCGCGGCCGACGCAACGTTTCCCCAGCCGCACCCAAAGTATTTCTCATTTTCCGGCTAATATATAACCGTGCGAATTCTAAATTCAGTCGTGCAAATTCATGCTAATTGCGTGCTAAATATTGACATAAAAAAAGTTGATGATTTCGCAAAACTTTAATATCAGGCGCGGCTGGCGCAACGTTTGAATGGGTTACTTGATTTTTCGCAGGGAAAGAATGACGCGCGAATTCTGTAGACCACCGTGCGAATTCATGCTAATGACGTGCTAAATATTGGCATAGAAAAATTCTCAAAATTCTTTAGAATTCAAGTTGGGCGCGGCCGACGCAACGTTTCCCCAGCCGCACCCAAAGTATTTCTCATTTTCCGGCTAATATATAACCGTGTGAAATCTAAATTCAGTCGTGCAAATTCATGCTAATTGCGTGCTAAATATTGACATAAAAAAAGTTGATGAATTCGCAAAACTTTAATATCGGGCGCGGCTGGCGCAACGTTTGAATGGGTTACTTGATTTTTCGCAGGAAAAGAATGACGTGCGAATTCTGTAGACCACCGTGCGAATTCATGCTAATGACGTGCTAAATATTGGCATAACAAATTTCTCAAAATTCTTTAGAATTCAAGTTGGGCGCGGCCGGCGCAACGTTTCCCCAACCGCACCCTAAGCATTTCTCATTTTCCGGCTAATATATTACCGTGCAAATTCTAATTTCAGTCGTGCAAATTCATGCTAATTGCGTGCTAAATTTTGACGTAAAAAAATTCTAAAATTTTTGAATGGGTGCGGCCGGCGCAATGCACGTGAATATTGTATATAGTTATATTCCTATAATTATTAATTTATTTTTCTAGCAGTTATATAGTTATACGGTAGCTTGAGCTTATTTTTAGAAAAGACATCGCATACCTCCCTATATAATACAATAATTATAAATTATTACTAAATTATATACATTTTTATTTATTTAATATGTAATAGATAATGTATACAATATACATCTTATACAATATAAATGCTGACTTACAGTAGAGCAATATAAAAAGGTTTGTGATAGAATAGTTTAAAATCAGTCTAAATATATTGAATTGTGTATAGAAAATAGTAATATCGGTAATGGGGAAAAGTTAGAAGTGCCTAAATTTAAAATATAATATATTATTTTGGGGTACAACAAAAAAACAAAATAGTTATTTGGGGATAAATTGTTATTTTACGTTTGAATATCCAATTTCGTCAAAATTTTCATGTTCAAGTTTCGGCAAAACGTTCATAAAAAATGAATATTATGGTTATACGCAAGACTTTATTTTTATTCTTGTAATAACATCTTATGAGGAATCTTGAATTACACTTCCCAGCTCTTTAACTCACAAACCAACATTATATCGTAAATAAATATAAAAAGGTCGAGTGTTTCAAATGTCTATAAATAGCACAAGAAATACAAAATACTTTTTAAATTATAATATATAATAGAATCCCCCACTATCTTGGTTGCACTCTTACATCACAGGTAGAAAACAATTCATAAAAATCAAAAATGCTGTTTCGGAGTTAGCTGTAATACCATCTGGAGTCCCTCAAGGAGGCCACCTTAGTCCTCTTTTATTTATTCTGTTTGTGAACTCGATAACCAAATGGATCACTAAGGCTAAACTCCTTCTTTTTGCTGATGATATAAAAATATTCCTTAAAATAGACAATCTTGATCAATGTCATATCCTACAGTCTGAACTAGATATTTTTGCAAGTTGGGCGTACTCCATTGGTCTTAGCCTTAATATAAGCAAATGTCATGTTATGTCGTTTTCTAGGCAGCGATCTCCTATCCACCACAACTATTCTCTTAATGGCACTTATCTTAACCGTGTCTTCCTCTATAAAGATCTTGGTATTCATTACTCACCATCATTAAATTTTGAGCACCATATTAATGTCACTGTAGGTAAAGCTTTAAAAGTATTGGGTTTTATTAAACGCAATACTAGTCAGTTTTCTTCTGCTCGTTGTCTCTGCACATTATACTTCTCATTAGTACGTTCTATATTAGAATACGGTGTGGTAGTATGGCATCCCTACCTAGCTAAAGACGAACTAAGACTCGAGCGTGTACAAAATAGATTTCTTTCCTACATTGCCTACATAATGAAGATACCTCACCCAACGCATGACTATTCTTTAATTCGTAGTTCATTGGGTATACCAATGCTGTCAACTCGTCGACAAGATGCTGATGAGCGCTTTTTAACCTCGCTCCTAGGTGGCACCATAGATGCACCCGATCTCCTCTCTAAAATATGTTTTCGTCTCCCTTCCTTCTTTTCCAGAAATCACGCACTCTTCCAAGTTCCAACTCACAATACATTATACGGACATAATCACCCCTTGCACAGAATGCTTCGTAATCTGAACAATCTTAATTTTGATTTTAATAAGTAATTAAATAATATCATTTATAAATATGTTGTATCATAGTTATACATTACTAAATTAAGGTATTACCATTTAGTTTATATTCTGTTGTGTTTTTCCATATGTTCTAATTTTGTGTGAATTTGTATTATATTATTGTTATATCTATTAATTTTAAACTTAATGTGTTAATTTAAAATTGCCGTTTGGCGTTTATATATTATAAATAAATAAAAATAAATAAATATATTTAGAAAAACTAGAATTTGTAAGACTTGATAAAAATGTAAAGCCTCTGACGACATTATTAATTTTTTATCAAAAACTGATTTTGCTTAAATATTCTCATATTTCCGTAAGTTTTTTGCCCCGATTGTTTTGTGTTTTGCCTAGAACCAATTTTTTTCCAGAAGCAGCTCTCTCGCCTCTCTCATAGTTGAAGATTGAAGCATTTTTACTGCTCCGAAGAAGACGTAATGTCGCTCAGTTTAGAATCTAAAATAAGGAACCAAATATCACGTAGTATACGTAGGACACTATAATAATATTATATATTTATGTAACAAAAAAAATAATTGTAAATACATAATAAAAATATCATAATAATTTAAATTTTATTATTTTATATACCTAGCTTATTAGTTGTATACGTATTTTATCTATCTACAACGGTTCAAAGTGGCGGTATGTTTACACACGTGGTGATACACCTGCGATACGAAACCTAAATATAATAACAGTAGGTAGGTACTTATAATATAATAGTATAATTAATAATTATTTAAATATGATTCCTATGTAATTTAAATTCATTCGAAAACTCATAATAATCAGTTACGTGGAACGACAAAAATCCGTCGTATACCGTTGACGGTAATGCCCGAAGACGGTCTGAACAATAAAGAAATTATTGTGGACAAAAATAACTTAATCGTTTTTTACTCAAAATCGTCATTGTTCACTTTTAATGTATCGCGTAATATTATTATTTGAGCGCAAAGATTTCCATTTTTGTTCAAATAATAACGATTGAAATCAGGTAATTATTATTTTAATTTAATTTTTTTACTAATTCGTTAGTTTTATATTATAACAAATAGATAAATCAAGATAAAAAATTATTAATTTTGATTTTGGCATAACACGTAATATACAACAATACATTGATATAATATTATTAGATCATTATCTGAATAATTAATATTACATATTGGTGGGTAGTTATCATACCATAATATAATATATCAATCGACATGAAAAAAACAATTATTAATTCAAATCATAAAATTATGTACCTACTAGTGACTACTACGTCTTATCATTGTAAATATATTATTTACTAGCTACTCAAAATGTATTTTTTTATACTTGCGATACACCGTTATAATTTTACAAAACAAAGTACTGAATTATAATTTACAAGATTTAAAATAATAGTCATACATTCAAATTACAAATGTTTTTTTTTTTATTTATCTCAACATTTTATGAACAAATCGACGTTCCCAAAAATTGTTGACACGTTTTTATGACAAAAAAATTCACTGTGTAATTCTTACTTATATTAATTTCTCATATATTGTATTCCCTTATTTCATATTCGTAATAATTTGTTGTATTATATTTTGAACATCTTGGATTGTTCAACAGACACTGAATCAGTAAGTAACAAAAAAAAATGAAGACCTGTCAGTTCTGGCTGAAATGTTGTATTATTTTTATACTTATGTGTATTTGTATTCTATTGATGACTATTAAACCAAAACAGCAACAAGTCGAAATCTTCAAAAAAAATGTAAATGAAAAGCTGTTCAAAGTTCTTTTAGAGCTCGATTTTCTACAAAAAAATAATGCTGAATTAAATCATCGAATTCTCGTCTCAACTCAAAGGTACATCAAATTATTATACTTATTCAATTTTTCCCATGCGTAATTATCATAAAATATAACGTTGATTTTATATTTTTAGGCTGAGGATCGTCACAAATAGTGTAAGTTTACATTTATAGTATCGTGTTCTCATTAACCAAAGACTTTCACGTTATGTTGATAAAGGTATTATAATTATAATTTTTTTACGATACATAGATAAAATTAAAATTCTAAAAATATATAGGTACTTCTCATATTTTAGAACATTTTCTCCGAAACATACATTGAATTGCTTACCTGCTTATTAAAATGCAGTGTGCAGTTTAGGTCAATTTTAGATTAATATCGTCCACTACTCTTACCACCATTAATATCGTGTATAATTCTGATTATAAAGCATAATAATACTTCGTCAAAAAGAGCCGTTTTGTTCAAATTACGGCTTGCCGCTTGGCCAATGCTTTCTATATCAATACTTAATAACGGCGAACACCGAAAAAAATTATTAAAATCACAAATTCACAAGGCCGGACATTAATGAGTTTAAAAGTTAAAGCTTAGTCACTTTTAACAAAGTGACATTAAGAGTTACTTATTTTTTTAGATGTAACTTCTAACTTAAAGAGTAAAATTGTTTTTCTTGATATACAGACATACAGTAATACTTATAAGTTAATTAATTTTATTGTCACTTAGTTACAAGTTTTTTTTTAGCCCCATTAATTTAAAAAAGATTTTGTTTTGTATATTTTTTTTTTATAAAATGGTACTCTATGATTTTTGGTACGACAGGGAACACGGTTGGAGGAACAAGTTTTTGTGTTTGACAGAATTTTCTAGTGGGCACCCTTAGTTATCTGCCATGCCCGGGTGGTTGATGACGGCCTCTCTCTCCGGACACCGTGACTGCCCGAAGAAAAACTCCGCCCGTAGTCGGGATCGAACCGGCGTCAGTGCGCGTCGCTACCGACGGGATAGTATGCTCGGCCTAGTCTGTCCCCCCAAAATATTATTTATAAATTATGATGGTGTATGTATTCTAAATATGCACCTACTAAATTTAAATGTATTATATTTTTACAATTATTGTTTATTCGGTTTATTTTCATTACCTATTGATAACTGATAACGCTGAAATAGCACTGATTATGAATCGAAATCGTAGTATTATTTGAAAACTGTCGTTTTTCAATGTAATCCTCAACTTCAATTATCATACGATTGATAATATTTCTTTAGTTTTCAATCGAAAGAACGTAACTTTTGTCATTAGGTACTTATTGTAGTACTATAATAACTACAATAAGTAATAACATAATATCCTTTAAATACGATATTAATATAACGCAACAATAATAAACATTGTTATACCTACCGTGCATAAAATCAGCTATAATAAATACATGTATATTAAATTTAATGCACATGACTTACAGTACTCAAAGAAAAAAAAAATAGAAGGCCCCTCCAAAGAGTATGAACTATTACGTCGCCGTATTTATTTCAACACGAAGGAATTTTGGTACTACGTCAGTTATGAACTACGATTGTTGGCTAGAACTGTCAAAGGCATAAAACCGTTCACAATTCAAATGATAAAAAATATCAACGAACAATATTTATCGCTATTGAACGACATCGCCAAATTGGCAACTGTCGACGACCATGCACAGTGGAGACGGAAAGAATATATCTATTTGAGAACTCTAGTCCAAAAGAGACTGAGATTTTTACAAAATCCGGAAGACTGTTCCAAAGCGAAAAAACTCTTTTGCAACTTAATCTCGGTAAATATAAATGCATACAAATATTATACTTATAAGTTATAACAAAACCGTTTGTGACTTCGTCTGTGGTATGGAAAGCGAAAGCGTGCTGTATAGTATATTAAAGTACAGTGGAGATCTAGAATTTTTTTGGTGGAGGACAGTACTATATTTAGCATATTATACCTATATGATTAGCAGGGCAGGCCCATCTGGTCCCCCTTAAACCAGCAACTGTTTAAGTGTTTGCTCTTAGGACCGTCGGTCATGTGGATATGGTTGTCGTCTACATCATATCGTCAATTGCTTGGTCGTCGCATATGCTACCAAGAGGACATTGTTCCTAAACAATCCCCACGATTGGGGGTTCACAAGCAGTGGATTTTCATCGCTGTTTTTTCCATTAAGCAATACATGTACGTCATCATTGGACAGCAATGAAACGGTCCTGCCTTGGCCAGGTAATATTACCAATGATTGGAAGATGAAGACGTTTTCCAATATTATTATTAAAGTGATAAAAATATAATGTTTGAGTAAATAATTTTATTCATTTAAGAACTGCAGGTTCAACTATGAAATTCCTATAACCAGCGCCTTTATATTTAAAATATATATCTCTATTAGGTTAGGTTGAAAATGGTAAAAACTGAAAACGGGACATTTCATTTTTATTCGAGACATATTAATTTAGAAATACAATAGCGTTTTTAACTTTAAGTTTTAACAGTCGTATCTATAATATAGGTCTATTCAAATATATAAAGACACTAGTGATTGAAATGTGTGGATGTCCCGACTCCCGAGTTCGTGACGTTTTTAATTGTTACCTTTTCCATAGCCCGAATGTGTCTCCGGTCCGCATCCAAAACTTTTAAGCAACAGAACCAAAAATCAACTTTTTTAATAAAATCTATGCATAATTTGTATACTTAATTTTGACTACAGCTACTTTGGTAATAGTGGAAAAATCGAATTTTATTTTAATTTTGATAATAACTGAGTACTGCTATGACTAATTCGCAGTGAATAAATGTAAGCAGTAAACTTCTGTGTGAATTAGACTTTAGTGCTATAATAGATATTATTTTCTTCGGACGTACTCAGGGTATTAAATAAAGATAATTTCGGGACGCACTCGGGAATCTCTCAAAAAAACGACTTAAGAACAAAATAAACAAATACTTTGGAAATACAGTATGTCCTCGTTGAACATTGAGGTTAGGTTCCTAGAAAACACAACTAAGCTAAAAAGCGTTAAGTGAGACACCTTTTAAAGTTACCTACTTAATTAGAATATTATGTTTCTTCCAATTAATATAACGAAGTAAAATATAATAAGTACCTAGTAATAAGTAATACACGACAACTGCATAGTGCAGGACAGGAAAAGTGTCATTCAATAATTTGAAATTATTTAGTGGTACAAAACTAGCTATTAATTAAAGATAGCCTCGATGTGGTGGAACACCCAGCAAATACAGACCCCTACCCCCCCCCCCCCCACAAAAAAAAACCAGGTCTCGCAAATATGTATATCCTTCTGCGACCCTTACAAACACATTTTCCCCCGAACGATGATCCGGCCAGCTGCGTATGATAGACATGTATGTAAAATCGATAACAGCATTATCTGAATGACCCTTTAGATTCTAAAGTTGCGTATGAGCTACACGGCCTACACGCAAAATTGACTAAAGTTAAATTGCGCACAATCGGACATTAAAAACTACGTTATACTGATACTGTAGAACCATTTGACGGAACACATGGATTTAAAATCCAATGATGTAATAACGAAACAACGTTAAATTCGATGCAGCGCGTAAACAAGGACTTGTCGTATTTAAAATCCTATAAAACTATTTGATTAAGTTTCTTAATCGAGCACTCTGCAAGGTTGGCCATTAGCAAATAAGTGGGCCATATTTACACACGACACGTGGTATTATAAAATAATGTTTCCACACTTACTTAAATATAGGCAACGAAAGTGCCCAAGTGGTGAATCTCACTCTTCCCATCGCAGTGCCCGATGGTTCGAATCGTATGAGGAGGCAACTGCCGCCACCGTTCGACCCACTTGTACTGCCCGAAGACTTGAGCCGTAGGATACGGGTGTTGCACGGCGACCCTTCTGTCTGGTGGATAGGACAATTCGTCAACTATATAATCCGGCCACAATTATCAACTATCGACATGTTTCAAGGATATGAAGAGAACATGGAATTTGAAAGGCCAACCGTCGGGTAAATATCTATTATAATAATATTATATAGGTACTTCGACACTTGGTCGACGCTAGATCTAGTTTGTATAATATATATTTTGAATGTCATATCAATTGAATATATTGTATTATCAATGGAAATTAAAATGTGATTGTTTTTCAAGATTTGTTAAAAACGTCATACGCTTCAAATTTAACTGTATGTTTCTATACCACCAGCCTTTAATGACTATACTTTCATTACCCATTCAAATATTATATCAATGTAAAGTAAACTCAAATGTTTGAGTTAATTGTTACAACAATATGTATAGTATATTAATTATATGTAACAAATCGTTGTAAATTATATTTTCTATAATTTATGGGTCCCCTGCTGCAACAAACAGGCAAGTCACAATATTTCCGAAATTTATTTTTCCATGAAATATAATTCATGGAAGGAATAACATTTATATTGGTACAACAACAATATTATAAAATGTAATTTTTTTTCTCATAGTTATAATTAAAAACTTTTTACTATAATATATATTATTATATATTCATTTTATAATATGATTTTAGAATTTTAATTAGAAAAAAATCTCGAATTATAAGGCCCATCATGGCTCACTCTACTATAGCATAATATTATAGTATAGGTAGTAGGTACATAATAATATAATATAAAACTGAGTCTGTAGTCTCACATACTTGCGGATAATTGTAATTTTCAGACAAACATGGCGATTTATTCTGTGTTTAAACAGCAACTGATAAGTGATAACCACATAATAATTGTATACGTTATGTAAATTCTATTTATTATTTTTTATTTATCACAATAGTTATTAAAGTTAACTCACTATAATTTAATGAAATGTAATAATATTATGTGTTACGTAGTATTAAAATTGCATACACAATACGCCGTGTTAATAAAGTATAGAATAAGACGTAATAACCAAAACTCGATTCTTTTCTTCGTAAGTCCAATCACAGATTATGGGGAAGCCAAGGGGGGCACGGTCCCGGGACCCATTGATTTTGGAGGTCCATCTTTATCCCCAAAATATATTTTTTTTAAAGCGTCCGATACAGTTTTAAAAAAAAATTATATTTAAGTAGGTTAAGGTATAGTAGTTAATTATTATTAATAATTATAAAATGAAATTGTTCTCCATTTTACACCACGAAAAATTACTATAAATAATGAACTATGTTTGCCAATAATTTTGTTTATGTTTGATTTTTTTTTGATAATTTTAGATTACCGATTTAACTATTTAAGTATACAAAACGGTAGTTATAAGAAAACAATATTTAGCTCTTGTAAATTAGGTATTTCAGTTAAAATTATTAATGCATATTAATTAGAGGACCATATAGTTAATAAGCTAGAGAACCAAAATTGATCATTTGACTGTCAAAATAGGTATTCAGAAAAAAAGTTTTACCAGAATCCATCAAAAAATATAGTGGTTACCATTTGAAAAAATAAAGTCGATATTATTATTGGTACAGCTGCGTGTTTAAAAATTTTGAAAAAGTTGTAAAAATTGCCTATTAAAAATAAAGAAACATGTCTTTTTTTGTTTTAACTACATTCCAAACAATCGATCCATTATTGTTAAAAAAAACCAGCATACAATGACATTTGATACACCCTGTATATTTTTTGTATACAATTATATTAAGTCGTTAATATGTAATGATACAATTATTTTGAAGTTAAAGTTGAAAGTTGGCCCACTAGTATAAGGTGTCCCGGGACCCAATTGATCCTTAATCTGGGCTTACAAAGTCTGATAAACTTCAACGATAATATGATGGCGAGGACTTATTTTTGTTAAAATATATTGTAAAAAGATTAGACTTATTACAAAATTGAAAGAAAACTATAGTAATATTGTCATTGTACATACTGTCTTAAGCGTGCACATCAGACGAACGGACAAAATTGGTTCGTCTCACAAGCTTGAAGAATACATGTACTACGTCGAACAATATTACAAGCAACAACAAATGAATGGTAAAGATCTGTTTAAGACAATATATTTAGCCACCGACGATCCAACGTTGTTCGAAGTAGCTTATAAGAGGCGAGTTGAAGTTGTGTTGTTATTATTATATTATTATTATAACAGTGCTGTGTTTTAGGTATCCTGACTACCACATATTTGGTGACCCAGAACTATCTAAAACTGGGTCCGTCGCAACCCGTGAGTTGGACAAGTCCATTGTGAATATCAACATCGACTTATTTTTTTTATCTCAGTGTAACTATTTAGTTTGTACTTTCTCATCGCATGTACGTATAACTAATTATCTTACAAAATATTATAACAATTTAATAAATCCCATTCTGATAGTGACACAATATTATTAAACTCAAAATAACTATTATAATGCACTAATACTATAAATAACTCTGTACTTATGTATATAAGAAACATGAATCAGTTTTATTTCTTAATTGGTATAGGTACAATAGATAGAACATTTTTAAGTTTCCTATAATATCTAAACAGCCATAATTTTATATATCGATATATTTTAATTTTGGCTATTATAAGCTTAAATATTAAACAATAAACATGGGATTGCTTATATTTTGGTATTTTTTCTATCATCGGCTTTTATAAATTTCGTCGTCTCAGAATGAAAAGGTTCTAACGCAATTTATGTAATTGTTCAGGGGAACGTTTTTAAGTAGGACATTGAATAACTTTTTTCACCATAATAACTAAATCGTGAAAATTGTATGCAATATCAAGAAAGTTCCAAAGAACACAACTTTATCTGCAATTTGTCTTTCCTCAATTATTGACTGAGTTAATCATAAAAAACCAAAATATTAGTTTTAGAATTAAAAGGTTTTACGTGTAGAACTTTTTCATTCTGAAAATAAAAATTATTTATCTAGTTAGAACTTTTTCATTCTGATTTGAATCATTTTTTCTATGCAGTGATACCAACTTCTAGTGTAAACTATGTTATAAATTATACATTTTTTTATTATGCAATATTTTTAGTTTTTAAGTTAAGTATTATTATATTATAACATACCCGTATATGTACTGGGCGGGGGGTCCCCCCACCCCCCGGAATTTTTTTTGTTGTGCATGTGCCTGGACATACCTACTATAAGTAATAAGTTACAATTGTATGGTCCATTGGCGCAATTAGTGTAGGGAAAAGGGGGGTATATTGAAAACGCAACAATATAAATTAAACGGCATAAATCATAATTCACAATAATGAAAAATGTCAAAAACGTAATTCAAATTTAAATGTACCATTTCTTATAATACTAAAGTAGGTACTATATACATGTGGCATGTAGGTATTACCTACCTTATCACCTCAACAAAACAAAATAGACGGTCAATTTATGCTGGAATGCTGAAATAATATTTTATTATGGCACAATAATAATTTATATTGTACCAGTGGTATAACCGTATTATAACGGTACCTTTTCATTCTGAGATATTACATTTAAGACCGTTTAGAACTATTTCATTCTTAATTATTGTTTAGAATGAAAAGGTTGTAACTGATATTTCTCGGTTTCGCGCTTATCATTCACGTTTTTATGAGTTAGAACCTTTTCATTCTCTGTATCTCATTGAATAATCAACGGATCGATCCGATTTCAAGATTGAATTATACAACAAAAAACTATAAATGATTATATGCAAAAAAACCATTTTTCAAAAAAATTGATTTAGAACCTTTTCATTCTGAGGCGACGATTTATATTATTTTCTTCTTGAATAATTTTTCTGTATTAAGAGTAATTTTAGTAATAAATAAATTCTAAAATAAATATTGATACTGGTGACTACCAGTAACGTATCGATTGGACGGATGGATAGATAACGGATACAACGTGGGTGTATTGTGTCTAACTCTTGTTTAGAAAGCTAATAGAATTATTATAACTTTATACCTATTATGCTGAATAAAATATAATTCGTAGCTTTAAAAAAAATATAATAAACCTAATTATGCTTATGTCCGTTTCATAGTATAAGAAATATTTGCATTTTAAACACCTAATTTTTCTTATAGGTGTGCCGATTGGCTTATGAAATAATTAATGGTAACAAATATGCAGATGCATCAACTCAGTTTACTTCTCTAGATGACGTGTATTATTTTAGTGACCAAATTCGTAGACTGCATGTTGCTATACTACCTCATAAATCAAACAGACCTCAAGAAATGGATTTACAAGTGGGCGACGAAATTGAAGTCGCTGGAAATGAATTGAATGGATATTCGAAGGGAACACATTTGAGAACAAACAAAACTCTTCTGTATCTTACTTTTAAGGTAGCTATTTCTAGTACCTCATTGCATCCCGTGCTTATTAAATACATTATATATTGTATTATAAGTATTAAATAGTATAATATTATAGTATTTTATATTATTTTACATATTAGTATTGTTTTAGGTAATACAAAAAATTGAAGTCATGTATTTTGAAAGTTACCCTGATATCAAAATAAGCTCTGAAGAATTGGAAGATTAATTATTACGCAATACCTTAACATTACTATAATACATAATATTTAATATTATTATAACTTAGGAACATTGTAATGAAGATTGAGGAAATAAAAAAAACGTTTAGGTAGTAAAAGTGTTAGATGTATATTATGTTACAGTTATGGTCCAAAAATGGGAAAGATACATTTTACTCCGGAATTGTAAACCTTGTTCATACGAACAAGATAATGTACCTATACATTATCCACCTTAAACAATTTATCAATTATCATTTTATGATTTTTTTTAAAAGAAAGATCACTTTCCAAGTATATGCCAAGATCGTTGGATTAAATTTACTCTAGTAAGAGGACTAAGTTCAATACTATATTTTAAAAATTTGGATTTTTTTTACTTGTAAACTATATAATATGACATTTATCAATATTTAATGACAATAAATTTAATTTACTCCATAAATGAAATTTATTAAGATTCAACTTCAGATATTTAGAATAGTTTAAAGATTCAACTGTATAGAAAATCTTCGGAATGGAATTTTTATAGTACTATTAAGAACTAGTGGGAGATCTTAAATAAATATTAAAATAATAAAGGACCTAAAAATCTGTCCTGAGGAACACCTAATAAGACAGGATATTTGTCAGAAACATGAAACATAATATTAACTGCTTGTGTACGATCAGGAAGATAAGAAAATAACAATTTAAAAGAGTTCCCACCTTGATTTTTTAATTTATAATATAGTAAGTTATGGTCCACCTTATCAAAAGCCTTTTGAAATTCCCTGTAAAATGTAAATAGCATATACTTAAGAACCTCGATCAATAAGCTTTTACATAATAATAATGATATAATAATAATTTTAGTTGAATCAAATGTCATGGTACAAAACCATGTTGAGAAAGGCTTGTATTATTACAAAATAAATTAGATAATATTTTTGAGATAATGGCTTCAAACATTTTGGCAAAATTGATAATTAAGAAATCGGCCATTCATTTTTACCTTTTGTTTATCACCTGATTTATGTACAGGAGAAAGGAAAGATTTTTTCCAGCAAAGAGGGAAAGTTCCATTGGATAGAGACCAAATGTTGTACACAATACAAGATGTATGTAATAATATGAATATAATATATGTATACTGAATGTCTATCAATATTTTTATACCTCCCCCCTTGAAAAAATCCTAGATACGGTAATGATACTGATTAAGTGATAACTGAAGATATTTTACAATCAATTTGAAAGAAAAAAGAGAGCAAGTGGCTAACGCTCTTCTGTACATTAGGTGTCTAGAATAGTCATTTCAATGGGTGTGTTAAATTTGAATTCAATGATATAAAATCATTATATACCTACGAAAAATTCTAAAAGAAGATTGTCTGTCTGTCTGTTTGTCAGCTTATACTATTACTAAGTATATTTATGTAATGTATTTTATTATTGCTATTAAAGAAATACATTTTATTATTATACATTAGTAATATAGTAGGTTTAACCAACTTTTGCCAAAAAATTGCATTTACAAATGTCATTGTATGTATAAAATATAATAATATACTTATTTTAAAAGGAACAAGTACCCAGGAATATTATTTTTAAATTACAAAAAAACAACTAAATTCGTTATTCATAGTATAGTCTATTAAATTCCGTTTTCGAAAACTGGTTTTCATCAATTTTTCCTTAAATTTATGTTATTTTTTTCAGAGGCTTTTGAAAAGTAAAATTTTATACCCTCCCCCCCACACAAGTACTAACTAGATTTACTTTCCTACTAACTTTCCTACACAGTCATGAAATCAACCATGCATTTTATGAATATAACCCAATGTTACAATCGGTTCTGGAAGTGAATATTTATGTTCTGAGTGATCGTATGGGTCGTTTTATTTTATGCGACTTTTATTTTAAATGCGAAAAACCCTTCGACGATGATCTAGAACAAACGCTTGCCGTAACACTTCAACATCTTGACGAGGAGCACAGAACCAACATTGAACTGACTGAAATAAAGAACGATCTAAGTCAAAAGTACGTCAAGATTTAATTGTCTTTAATTTTTATTGTGTCATGCCACTTGTAATCAATATATAGAATATTATACCTCAAATGTATAATGTTCACATCCAGTTACACCCATCCAGTTACAGTATTAAATTAAATTCGTTGTACACTAGCTGATTCGGTACATGAATGGTATGGTATTTTTTTTTTAAATAAAACAAAATAATATTTGATTTAATGCTTGTTCACTGTTTGTGCCAATATTCAAACCGAAACTAGGCGTATGATTTACATTGGGATGACAAGTGGGTATAGTTGACACCAATGCCGATGTTAGCATATTATTATTTATGATTATTATTTCTTACCGTTCTACAGTCGTATCGCCGTATAGGCCTATACGACTGAGCGATATAAACAATATAAAAATATGATAATATAATATCAACGTTTGTTTTATTTATCACTCTAATTATTATAATATTTTCCACCTATTCCATTTTTATCCTGCTCTTTAAATTTCTATACAAGAGATAAAAACAAAAAAAATCTCTAGTGCTCCGTCGGTATGTTGGCTCGACCTATTGGCCATATTGGATGGTCAACCGGTGAGCACACAATCGCTCCAAAAGCGAAACGTAACAATGTTAAAACATTTTAATGACTACCCACTAGGTATTAGGTACCTAAAGTAAAGCTATAAAGTAGTTACTAAAAACAAAGTTCCGAATTTAAACTACACAAAATAGTGAGGCAAAACTAATAATTTTTATTATAAACAATAATCATGTAAAATAAGCAAAAAATGATTATATGAATAGATAAAAAAATTGCAATGCTTTATATTTCACGTAGACGAGGTGGGCTGCTAAATATTCGTTCTGATTCGATTATTTTAATTCTCTTCTCGATGAACACTGTAGTAGAGTGTGGTTATGTAGAATATACAACATTGTACCTACAACAAACATTGGTGTTGACTCTTTTTCAAAAACAAAACCGGTCTATACAGTTTATTAATTTACTAACTATATGCAAACACGTTGAACATTATAAATTATAAATTATCATGTTGTGCAAATACTAAAATAAAGTATTTATAGCTACCTATAAAATGAAAACTAGAAATATAATTTATTATAATTATAATTATGATTATAAATTATGTTTTGCAAATACTAAAATATGATATTTATTGGTAGGTATTTTCTGGTACATGATAATTTTTACACATTTCACACCACTCGAAATCGGTTATGTAATAATATGTGGTTGTGTATAATAATTCACAGTAATAATATAACAAAATATTTCCAAAGACTGTTTGCGATCATCCGGTTAACGTTTTTTTCGGGATTAGTTGTACTATACGTCATCGAAAGTGTTAATAAATTAGTGATTATAAATGTACACTCATTGATACTCCGTGTCAAATAAGACAACCAATTTAATTTTGATGAAAATAAATCTGTCGTTAAGTTCTTCAATATTATGTTATATCTCCTCTCTCTCTATTTTCGATACATTGTTTGCATATTCGTGCTGAAAGTTTGTCAGTGTAAAAACTCCTTGCGGGATTTTCATTATTTAAGTTTCAAACCGGATGATAAAAATATAAAATAATACGAATGATAGTTTTATAATTATATTACCTATTAGGTATATATTTATAAAATAAGTCATGTTTTAAATAATTTTACGATTTTTTTTCTTACATTGACAGTATTCGGCCACGGTCATGAAATCAACCATGAATATTATGAAAATAAGCAAATGTTACCTTCAGTTCTGGAAGCGAATATTTATGTTCTCATTACTCTTATTGGTCGTCTTATTTTATGCGACCTGTTATTTCAAACGCGAAAAACAAGTCGTCGATGTTCTAGAAAATAAGCTTTCCATAGCACTTAAAAATCTAGACGAGGAGCACAGAACCAACGTCGAACTGACACAAATAAGGAACAACCTAAGTCAAAAGTACGTCATGCTGTATTTGTATTTAGTTATTATTTTAACATCGCGCTTCTTATCAATATACAAAATATTATACCACAAATACATTATGCAGATCTAGGAAAATATTAATCTTATAGTTTGTATGTCCGATGAAGAAGTATTAAAGTATAGTATATACTCATCACTCTTAAAATCGTCGACTAAATTTAGTCCGTAAACAATAAATTTTTTCTGATTAAAGAGAAATCATCGTGTCACGTTATATGAAATTACATCTATGGTGGCATTTGTAATTTCTTTCACTCTTATCTCCCGAGTGTAATAAAATATTATAATATGAATAATTATTAAGTAGGTATGTTAATATTTTATTATATATGATGGAATATTATAATATAATAATCGTTTACGTTTATATTTTCTGTTTTTAGACTGAGATTCGACGAAAAAAAAGTACACAAGCCATCCTCTTATAGTATTTTTTATCTTATATTTTATTATACCAAAACTCAAAAAATATTATTATGTAATTACTCTCATTACGGGAAGTGAGCTATTTTAGTAGCGGATGATGTGTGCTGCACGATTCGAGGGCCGCATTTCTCCCAAGACTGAAATTTCCTTCCCGCGCGAACCACAAATCACACATTTTTGTGATGCCTCTATGTTCATCGATCAGGACAAAGGTGATGAATGGAATATATGCAACAACTAGACTATCCTGCGAAAACAATATTTCATGAAAGAAAAGATTTGGTTTAATTTATTTTAAGCGCCATACATGCAGGTTATAATATGAATATAATATGCAACCAAAAGTTTATGTTTTGTGAGGACTGTTGTGTATAGATTACAGTGTATGGTTGTGCAAGGGATACAATAGTGATATGAACGCCCAGCACTTTTGAGGATTGCCATTTTAACGAATGGATCTTCGCAGGAAAATATTTTTTGTGTCCGTATATAATATTGCCTACATTTAGCCCCTTTTTTGCAGTTATCAAAATGTGATAACATTGATAAACCGATAACATCATTTTCATTATAAATTATAATATTATATTTTATTATATTAAATGTAATTAAAATAGTTAAATACATTAATAGTTAATAAGTTATTAAAAAACACAATATCGTAATTTAAAATTTAATAATATACAATTCATTGAGAATACAGTATAAATGTACAACCTATTTACGTGGAACATTATTTTAAATTTTCTATCTTTAGCTATAAAAGTTAAATTATATAATTAATTTTTAAATTTGATAAATATTTTCAAAATTTGAACTAATGCCCAGATAGCAATTGTGTAATGATATTATTATTATTACAGTACACAAAAAAATATATTTTAAAACATTGCAATAAAATTATTGAATTACTTACAAACGAATCAAAACCTATGCAAACAGAAGATATAAATACAATTAACATAAAAAAAAATATTGAAAAACAACCACGTTTCTTTACTAAAAATAAAAAAAATAAACTTGAATTTCATCAATTGTCGTCGATGAAGGTAATATAATAAGAAAATCCTTACTAAAATATAATACAAGTGTTTTAAATGTTCATTCATATGACGATCATTCTTATAGCCCTAAAAGAAAATGAATTTCTTAATATATTGTTGAACTGTATCTTTTAAATGACGATCGTAAGTAAATAATTAATATTGTGTTTTTTTTTAATTGTGTATTATTAAATTTATTAACTATTAATGTATTTAACTATTTTAATTATAATTTATAATATAAAAATATTATGTTAGTTGGATAGTTATGTTATTATAATAACATTATTTTTATAACAATATTTGTGTACTGTAATAATAATAATATCATTACACAATTGCTATCTGGGTATTAGTTCGAATTTTGAAAATATTTATCAAATTTTAAATTTTATTATAATATAACTTACCTTTTATAGCTAAAGATTGAAAATTTAAAATAATGTTCCACGTAAATAGGTTGTACATTTATACTGTATTCTCAATGAATTGTGTATTTACAAATTTTATATTACGATATTGTGTTTTTTAATAACTTATTAACTATTAATGTATTTAACTATTTTAATTATAATTAATGTAATAAAATATAATATTATAATTTATAATTAAAATTATGCTATCGGTTTATCAATGTTGTCACATTTTGATAACTGCAAAAAAGGGGCTAAATGTAGGCAATATTATATACGGACACAAAAAATTTTTTCCTGCGAAGATCCATTCGTGCATTTTACAACCCAGCACTTCCCAAAATGTCACTAAATACTCATACAATAGGTGCACAGTAACTTATATTAAATAGTAGATTTAATAAACATTCAACGCCTTCCGTTTATAAACGTTTACATTAAAGTCACATTGAAAATTAAAAATCGTACCTTAAACATTTGGAAAAGAAATTTTGGTTTGTCTCAGAATAAAATATTTTAAAGTAGAACCGGACAGTCGGTCATTGTGAAATAATAATACATGTCAATATTAATTGCTCATCTTATAGATGAAGAAGAAAAAGAAATTGTTATATCCACCGTCAGAAGAGTACGAGTTATTGCGTCGCCGTATTTATTCAAACACTAAAGAAGTTTGGTATTACATCGGTTCTACATTAAGGTCGTTGGCCAACGAATTCGAATATTTGAAAACGAAAGTTTCTAATATGAAAACAATGGTCGACGAACACTATAGATCGTTATTGAGGGATGTCGCCAAGTTGGCCGATGTTGACGGTTATTCACAGTGGAGGTGGAAAGAGTTTCACTCTTTGAGTAGACTGGTCGAAAAGAGACTTCGACATACGCAGAATCCACCCGACTGTTCCAAAGCTAGAAAACTCTTGTGCAATTTCTTCAGCGTAAGTTGGTCCAATCCAAATATTCTGTGAAATTGTGAATTATTTAACACATCCTTCATAGATAATCAAATATAAATCCTAAAATAAAGAATATTTCAATAAATAAATTACTAATTTAATTACTCATTGTTTTTAGTGTATACAGGTTGTAAATATTACTCACATGTACAATAAATATTTTATGGATTTTAATTTATTAATATGGTTTTAATCAGTGGCAGTCAAATAATCGTATCATGTGGTTGTGGGAGGTCTTATTTTGTATCATTATTATTAGATCATTAACTATATAGTTTATAATTTTTATTATATTAAGTATCGAAAAAATGGTCATGGTCCTGAATCATTACTTCTGACATACATACGTCTGACTGCCACTTTTATTAATAAACAATTTTACATAGTACACGTGGCACTTATAGCATTGCTCACATAATAATTGTTGTGGATATGGATGTCGTGTACACCATTTCGTCAAGTGCTTGATTGTCGCCTACGCTACCGAGAGGACAATGATTATAGAGAATCCTATACGATGGAAGTTTACTAGCCGTGGTTTTGAAAATTTATTTTTACCACTTAGTGACACTTGTACGTCAAATGACGGTGATACAGTTTCGCTTTGGCCAGGTAGGTGAATCTTTGATCATAATAAATCAAGCACACAAAGATAATAAAAGTCTCTATATATAATTATTCGGTTTCTCTTTTACATATGTTTTATGTATCCATTTATTAACAAAATAGAACCCCCTCCCACCGAGGAAAATGTTTGTCGCATTATATGATATGTGATAAAAAAATGATTTGTTAAAATATTTCTTATTTCACCAACCTAAGTAATAAATATTGATTAATATTATTATTTAAATGCATGATAATAAAACAAATGCATACTTACATCTCTTGATTGGAACCTCATCAAAATTTCGAATTGCACTAAAGACACTCATTACGCAATGGTTAAATTTATTAATTAAACGTCCACCCCACTCCACCCCACTGAAAGATACTTACCTTAGTCTAGAGTATATTAGGTATTTTATATTTGTACCTATAGGTATACCCGTAAACCACAACCATGCAAATGTAATGAAAAATTACTCTGAATTTATTGATAACCTACATAATATTATAATTTATAGGCAACGAAACCACTCAAGTCATAAATTATTTTTTGCCTACGCCCGAATACGCTGACAAACAATTCCATCCTCCTTACATTCCGGTCGTGTTGCCCGAGGACTTAGCTGGACGAATAAACGTCTTGCACGGCGATCCCGCTGTATGGTGGATAGGCCAGTTCTTCAAATACATCTTCCGTCCGCAACCATCCACTACCATTGCGTTTAACGAGTTTGCCAAGCGTGTGCATTTCCAAAAGCCAATTGTCGGGTAAACATATTTATATTACGTCGTAACGTTTTATTGACACATCGTAAACAAGGCCAGCGTTATACATTTTGAAGGGGGGGGGGCGAGATCAAGTATTTGCCGACTGAAATATAATTTATGGCGACTGTACAAATGTCGACCAGTTTCTTAAAACAAACTATGTAAAGTACCTACCTATAAAATGTCCTGGTTTTTCTGTATAATAGATTATAATACATTTTTATAATTTCTCTTAATTGTTAAAATTTCATAAATATTATATTACAAACATTATAAAAATTGAACTTTGAACAGTTCTTTGCACATAGTCTGTTTTAATATTTGTTACTTGTATATCATACAGCCGCTAGCCGTACGGGTACATGGATTGTCAGGACTATTTTTAGCTCTAAGAAATTAAGTCGTATTCGGTGTTCTAATCTATTAATCAGTGCAGGGGCGTAGCCCCCACCCCCGAAATATTAAGACAATTTAAAATGTGTATTATTAAATCAATATATGATAAGGGTTATAGGAACCAAAATCTAAAATAAAACTTCGGCATCTGCATGTTACATTTATGGAAAAACCTAGGTAAACCACTGCCGTGTAAAAATTAATCAGGAACATAATATATTAATATGTGCTTGCCAGTGGTTGTTTTCTAAGCTACCCATTTGGGCTGGTCGAAACTTTCACCCCCCTCTATAAAAACTGTAATGACACCACTGACTGTCATAATAACAATATAGGCCTACCACTCACAGTCCATAGATAGGTGCTTGAGATAGCGATTAGCGATAGCATACAGATGGACGACGGTACTAAAAAAGTTATTATAAGTATTAGTTATTATACTATTATATATGTATAGCAATCGGCAGTATTTTGATTACTAAATCAGTAAACTCTTAAATATTGTCAAGTGCGTATAGTCGAAGTCAGTGGAAATAAGGAAAACAAGGAGATCTATATACCTACTTCTCCAAACTTGTATACTAACACTGTATTGTGCAGTCATTGATTAAATAATAAATATCCACTTATATTTTAAATTTTTCATAACATAGTAAACTATGAATAGTGTCATCCTCTGTAATTACCGATTTAGAAATCAAGTTAATACTACAGACTGCCGAGGAACCGTTCTCGTTTTTATTATTAAAATTATAACCTAAGAAAATCTAGGAAAACAGTTTACAGTAGCTTATAGTCGTATAATTGTCTGACAGATCTCTATTATTAAGAATATGCTGACTGATTCCAAAAAATTCAAAGGGGGGAGGAGGGGGTGAAACTCACATACCCACATTGCTCTCACTGATCGTAAAACGCTTATTGAAATATTAAATTAAAACAATATATTCACCGTATTTGCAACAATTATTAATTTTGAAAAGACCGGTCGAGATAAAATCAAATTTACATATTATAAATAAATTAGAACATAGTTAACCTGCAGAGCTCAAAAGTGCTATGATATACCTGTTAATGAAATTCGTCACTAATATTTCACTCCTAAGTCGTATTATGTACAATTTCAATTCCCAATGAAGACATTTTTACTCATAAATGATAATCGTAGTTGGGTAAACCGGGACCACCCAATTTATTGAGTCCACTAGTCGTGAGTCTAATAAGCGGCAACTAGTGTACTTCAAACCATGTCTGGGTACGCTAGGCTGTTTTATGGCTATAGGTCACTGGTGTTATAAAGTTATGAATAAAATTATGTGTTGGTGTGTAGGTTGCATATCAGAAGAACGGACAAACTCATCGGGGAAGCTTCGTTGCACAGACTCGAAGAGTATATGTACCACGTTGAAGAATATTACAAGCTCAAAGAATTAAACGGTGAATACGACACGAAACGCATTTATTTGGCCACTGACGAGCCAACATTGTTTGATGAAGCTAGACTCAAGTGTGTTCGACATTTTCAAGTTTAAACTAGTTTATTATCATACTTTCATTAGTTTCCAGACATAGTAAATATTAAATCGTTTTTTATTAGATATCCTGAGTACGATATTATCGGTGATCCAGAAATATCCAAATCTGCAGCGTCTCTTCAAAAGCGTGATTTAGACGATTCGATTATGGATATCATCACCGACGTATATTTTCTGTCTCATCACTGCGACTACTTAGTTTGTACTTTTTCGTCAAATGTATGTCAAATTTGATTTCCTCGAAATCATTATGCATTATCATTAATAACTAATTATAAGGGCCTGATACATCTGTTCCTCTCCACTTCTTGACAAATTTGAATAAAATGTATACCTATCAAATGTAACTCTGAAATTATATTTTTAAGTTGTTCTTCAGAACCTCATGGTTGATTTAAGATGGGTGCACACTTGAGTTTTGTTTTGAATAACGAAAATTGAACAATTTTTTTGTTTAAAATAAAATATAGGGATTGCCATTTATTACAAAAATAAATTTGGTATAGAGTACGCGAAGGCTATGGTATTTTTTTTTAAATAAAACAAAATAATATTTGATTTAATGCTTGTTAATCAAATGTAAAACAAATTTTAAACAAAAGTCTATGTCCGTATATTTGTAGGTTATAGATTCAAAACTGACTGATTTTAACGAACGATTTAGTGAGTATTCTTAAAAATATCTAGGAGAGTTATTTTGTAAGAAAAAAAAACTTTGAACTACTTTCAAAAATATACCAAGTGCTTTATTCTTATTTTTCCTCTATCCGTTGAATTAGTTGACAGAGCAAAATACACTGATGGCCTTAGTCCACTAAAACCAATATCACACCTATATAATGCATATTTTATGTTTGTTAATTTTTTGCCGGGCAAAGATAGAATAAACATATAAAACATTTGTGCACTTTTAAAAATATTAGTTATATACTTATAGGTACACGATAGTTGAATAAATATAAACATTATTAAATAGGTAACTTGATCCGTGATGTTTCTATGTTCAATCTCTGTAGATTATTCACTTCGTATTATTGTCGTTGACATAAACGACAAGAGGCAGGGAGATAAATCCAGATAATAAAGATATCATTTTTCTCAGTAGATTTATACACATAATAAAGGTGTAGATGGGATTGAACAATAAACTATACCAGCCCTATAGTTATCGATTATGACAGTGCCATCATTTATGTAAAACCAGAAGGTTATAACATATAAGAAATATTTTAATATTTATATAGTTGGCATTCATGATACGTATTTTTTGGGACCTTTTCTGATAGAATATAATATATTATACTAGTCACATAAATGCTTGATTATATCAGCTCATTGCGTCATACCGATACAATATTAAACATGTTACTTTCAAATAACAGAAAGCGTTAAATAAAATTATTATTTTAGTAAATTCGTTTTCATTTAATTGTGTATACGTTGCAGGTGTGCCGGTTATCCTATGAAATTATGAACAGTCTCCAACCAGATGCATCAGCCAAGTTTACTTCCTTAGACGACACATTTTATTTTCACGGTCAAGTGCACAGACTGAATGTAGCTTTAATATCTCATAAATCAAAAGGACCGGAAGAGATGGATCTAGAAGTGGGCGACGTGATCGAAGTAGCTGGAAATCATTGGGACGGTTATTCAAAGGGGACACATTTGAGAACAAATAAAACACTATTGTATCCTACTTTTAAGGTAAAATGTTATGTGAAAACAAATATTTATACTTACGTAAATACCTGTGTCACAGTAATTTGAGTGTACCTAAACTTAAAACCCAAAACTGTAAAAACTGTGAAGTCCATTTAAACATTAAAATTCTAGAGTTATTAGATCTCTTAAAATAATTATTTAAAAGCTCCAAAAAAAACTAAGTAATGACGATAATCGTCGAAAAAATAATTATTAATTTATGCAACACCCTATTTAAATTTATAAGTATTATTTATTTTATATAATTTAAATGCCCAAAGACTTAATATTTAATACGAGGCTTCTAATACATTGTTACAATAGTAGTTGAAAAATCTTAAAAATACATTTTTTTTTATAAGAATTTAAATTTCACGAAAATTCGCAAAATTGTTTGTGTTAGAAATTCATAAAAAATTTTCTTTTTAAATCTAAGATTTGAAAATGTAATACAAGATTCCACATAAGTTTGTCTAATTTTATAAAAAAAAATTCTCTACCAGAAATTGAAATTAAATTTTTATGAGCGTTTGAAGTTAAAATTTTTACAACATTAGATATTCATATAGTGATTTTCTTATTTTGTTGTAATTCAAAAACGAATAACTTTAGATACAATAAAATTTAACTGAAAATTTATATTTTTAGTTTCTTTACATCATCAAATTTTAAAAACTTTTTGATTTGTTTTGATCTGGTTACGGACATTTTCAATTTTTTACTTTTTTTGCTATATTTTTTAATAAAATGTCATTTGTTGGGTAGAAAACTCTAAAAATAATAATAATATAATACAATGCTCCTGATATTTGGTTTCTATAGCAGTTGAAAAATATTAAAAATACATATTCAACATTTTCTTTTTAACCATTTAAAGTTTAAATTTTGACGAAATTTAAAATTATTTTTTAGTTAAAAATTAATAAAATGTTAAACTTTTATAGCTTAAGATCGAAAATTTAAAACGAGGTACCACTTAAATAGGTTACCTATTATATAAAAATAAGTCCGGTTTTCCTCCCTGACGCTATAACTCGAGAACGCACGAACCGATTTCCACGGTTTTGCATTCGTTGGAAAGGTCTTGGGCTCCGTGAGGTTTATAGCAAAGAAAATTCTGGAAAATTCAGGAAAAATTCAACAGAAAAGTGGGGAAATCGTTTTTCACATACAGCGCCATCTATTATACATAGCATGTACTTCAAACCAATAGCAACGGTGCGTGATAAAGTGTTTGAAAAAAAATAAACTTAATGCTTAAGTTGCCACTCAATTTAAACACAATTGATACTCCAACGTGCAATATTTCCCGATCCAGTGCAATGGGAAAATTGTTAATGCAATGCAAGCTCATTGTTTGGGATGAGTGCACAATGGCACATAAGAAATCACTTGAAGCACTTAACTTCACACTGAAGGATCTTCGGAGAAATAACAACATCTTTGGCGGCTTGATGATATTGTTGGCAGGCGATTTCAGGCAGACGTTGCCAGTAGTTCCCCGTGGAACGCCTGCAGATGAATTGAATGCTTGCCTAAAGGCATCACCTTTATGGAATAACGTAAAAACATTATCGCTAACCACTAATATGAGAGTTCAACTTCAAAATGATCAAAGTGCTGCACAATTTTCCAAACAATTGTTAGATCTTGGAAATGGAAAAGTCCCAGTTGATGCGACATCTGGATTAATTACTCTTACCAACGACTTTTGCCGATTTGTAGACACTCAATTAGTTCTTATTGAAAATGTTTTCCCAAACATTAGTGAGAATTATAAGAATTATGCTTGGTTAAGTCAACGAGCAATTCTTGCAGCAAAGAATAATGATGTCCACGCACTGAATTTCACCATTCAATCAAAAATTGCTGGCGATTTGGTGACATACAAATCCGTTGATTCAATAACAAATCCCGATGATGTAGTAAATTATCCAACGGAGTTTTTGAACTCTCTGGAGATACCAGGATTTCCACCACATAACTTGCAACTGAAAGTTGGTACGGTTATTTTGATACTGCGTAATTTGAATCCACCGCGACTTTGCAACGGTACTCGACTTTCGGTAAAGAGACTTATGCCGAATTTAATTGAGGCAACCATTATTAACGGAAAGTACGCAGGTGAAAATGTATGTATTCCTCGAATACCAATGATTCCGACTGATCTTCTGTTTGACTTCAAACGATTGCAATTCCCAGTTCGCCTTGCGTTCGCAATGACAATTAATAAGTCGCAAGGCCAATCGCTTAGTGTTTGCGGGATAAATTTGGAAAATCATTGTTTTTCACATGGACAGTTATACGTTGCGTGTTCACGAGTTGGGAAACCATCCGCTTTGTTTGTGTTAACGTCAAACCAAAAAACAAAAAATGTGGTTTACCAAAGAGCACTACAATGAAACAATTAAATAACACTTCATTTTAGTAGGTAATTGAAATGAATTTATTACTGTTGTGAAATGAAATAAATATTTTCCTTTTCAAATATATAACAAAAAAATTTTTTTTCTTTATATTTTAATCACCAAACGAAAAAAAACATAAAACGAATCTGGTGGCGAAACGGAGTTCGCCGGGTCTGCTAGTATAATATAAATTAGTTTATTTATAATAATATCATCAAATATACTTAGTAATATCATAGGCTGACTGACCGTCTTCGCTCAGAATCGTTTTTCTTATACATAGGTATTATATACAATGATAATAATAAAGGTATATCATTGAATTCAAATTTAACACCATCCATTACAGTAACCCACTTGTAACCTACTGTACAGCAGAGCGACTCCCTCTTACCCACTTTTTTTTTTTTAAATATTCCTAAAAACAATAAAATTCTTTTTGTTCAAAAAAATAAATGAAGTTACCAACTCACAATTATGTGATCTCACATGATCGGAGGGAGGATAACTTCACGGATGTATAAGAAATTATTATTTAAATATAATAACACATAATTAATAAAACTAATGAGTAATAATTTATGCTTAATTACATTATTATTTGATTTTAGGTAACAACAAAAATTGAAGTTTTGCCTTTTGCCAGCTATCCAAATATCACTTTAAATACTTGAACTTAGAAAGAAGAAATGTATAAAAACTGTATTTGTACTTATTACTCAAATGTTATGACTGTAGAGTTAAAAAAAAAACAAAATTATATGATTTTTAAAAAATAAATTTTGTAATTTATTATGGTTTTTTACCCACATGAACTGTATAATATATGCAACTTGGGTGTATAATACATAAAGGCTATAACACTTGTTGCATGTTTTGTTCGAATTTTGTTCGTCAAAGATTATATTTTAGTCTTACAAAAATGTATATGTATAATATTACATAATATTATACTATATTCAACAGGTTTAACATAATATTATGTTTTTCAAGTTTTCTTTTTAGCTACTTTACCGAAGAATTCATTCACGTATAATCCATATAAATTTGAAATACTTGTACCAACCTATTAAAATAATTCCAATACACTTACATGGAACAAATTTTCGCCTATCAATGTACTATGTACTCAATATTTTAACTTGAATATAGAATACATGACAACAATTTCACGCTTCAAAATTTAAAAAATCATATGTGTAAATATTATTATTATTTCAGTTACATAAAATATGCTTGATACACGAATATTTAATAGTGAGCCCTAAATGAGTTAGGAAACGTAGCAAAGACGTGAACTTCGGTGTCTAACTGGATTCAGTTAGGGTTAGGGTTCGGTTAGCTCAGTTAGGATTCGTAAATAAGTATGCGATCCGATCCCGGACACAAAAAACCCCCGTTCGACCATCAACGTACGCACACCAACCAAACTATCAAAATCTAATGTCAACCCTATGCACTAATACACTATTTTTCGATTCAATAAATTTCAGACTTCTACAATCTTCAATAGGCGATTAATTATGTTATATCTTCTCATCATAACACATATTCTGGCGACACAAAATCAATCGTAATAATATTATCGGTGTACGTTAGCACGCTGTCCCTAAATGTTAGATATTTTAACACCGTCTAGCTGACCATTTCCATATAAACTATATTATAGTTGTATGGTTATACTATGCCATGAAATATATGTTTTTAATGACGTATATTTTATACAAGTATGTACTTCGCACTCTCAGCAGTAGATAATATGTACAAATTATCAGACTTGTTTAAAATACTTTTAAAAAGTATTTCAAATACATATTCCGAAAAAAGTATTCAGAATATGTATTCGAAATAATCGAATAATTTATGATAATAATATTCCTAAGTATTTAGAATACTTGACAAAAAGTATTCAAAATATTTTTCGAATTCTGTTTTTTAGTAGATTCAGATTTCAATAAATATTTTCAATTCTGTATTTATAAATGAACATTATTATAATCTCAATAATACACACCTATCTGGCTATCTATTTCTTATTACTTATTAGTTATAAATTATATTCAAATTAATATAATTCATAAGTAATAATTAGTAATATATAAGAGTATACCTAAATAAGAAAAAAAGTATTCCAAATACTGTACTCGGAATACTTGTAAAAAGAATTCGGAACACTACCAAAGTCTGCAAATTATGCATAGTTATTTACAAATTACAGATTTTGTAAATAATATTTTACTTTATCCAATGGATAAGGGTAGCGTTCACTTTCCACTAATATAATTCCCAATAAATCTACATATAACATATTATATTCAGTATCATAAAAAAAATTTGTAGCTAAAAAATTAATTACGTTTGTGATGTACCTAGTCTCTGAAATATATATTATAACACCACAAACTTTACCAGTTTCGTGTAATATTATTATTATAAAAATAATGTACAAAAGAGTCTATTAAACCTAATCGCTATCATTTACGATTTCATTTTCTCCGTATCTCTGTAGGATTTTATTTGTGAATTTTTAATTTTCCTAATAAAGTAAGGTGTCACGATACGAGCGGCCCACATTAACTACACCACTCGTAATTTCTAAAACCTAAGTTCTATGCTGCTTTATCTTTTCTTTTGATAATTCAGTCAAACTCGAATAACCCACATAACGGCAAACACGTCTTGGTGTGTGTGTGGTGTTGTTTTTAAGGTTCCGTACGGTAAAACGGAAGCCTATTACTAAGGCTCAACTGTCCGTCCAGCCGTCCGTCTGTCTCAAGGCTATATCTCATGAACCATGAAAGTTAAAAAGTTGAAATTTTCACAGATTATGTATTTCCGTGGATGCTATAACATCAAATACTAAAAATCCCTTTTTTTTATTCTTTTTTTTTTCGAATTAATCGAGGGACGGAAGAGGAACCGCGTTAGCATTACTTCTCCTCAATACTAAAATTCCTAGAATATATATATATATAAGCAGTGTTGCCAACATAGCTGAGGATGGTACCGAACCCTTCGTGAGTGAGTCGGACTCGCACTTGGCAGGTTTTTTATTATTAATTTTATAGAGTATCTGGACAACAAACATTATGGAGTAGTTATGTACTCAAAAACTCCTTTCCGCGGCGGCGACTGAATGTCGGGCAATTCTGAGGCATAAACAATTATTATAGGTGCAAAGCTAACCAGGCAAACCAATATAATCGTACTCGTTATTATTTTGCCCATATGACATATTATTATTGTTTTCAGGTCGATATTATTATAATGTTTGTTTCAATCCTCAAACCGCAATTAGGCATATGATTTACATTGGGATGACAAGTGGGTATAGTCGAAACGTGTCCCGATGTTAGCATATTGTTATTTATGATTATTATATATAACCATTTATAGGCTAATACGACTATAAATACTATCAATAAAAACAATAAGACATTTAATGACTATAGGTACGAGTAGTTCTTGTAGTTAATACGTAGATAAATTATAGCTATAAAGTTGTTCCTAAAAACAAAGTTCAGAATTTACATTACACAAAATAGTATGGAAAACCTAATAATTGTTCTTACAAACAATAATCACGTATAATAGGCAATAATGTAGAATATACAAAATAAAATTGTACTGTTTGGTAGTACAGGAGGTATTATAGGTACCTGGTACCTACAATAAACATTAGTGTTGACTCGTCTTTAAAAACAGAACCAGTCTATATATTTTATTGATTTACTAACTATACTTAAACACGCTGAACACACTACGCAAACACTATTCAACACAAACCTAATTTATTATAATTATAAATTATAATGTTATGCAAATACCAAAGTATAATATTTATAGGTAGGTATTTTCTCGCACAGAATAATTTGTACACCTTACACACCACTCGAAAACGCCTATTTAATAATATGTGGTTATGAACGGGTGATCGTTTTTATATTTGAAAAATTAAACGAATAAAAATATAATAATTCACAATAATAATTTTACAATAGACCGTTTGCGATCATCCGGTTAACGTTTTTTTCGGAGTTAAATGTAGACGCCTTATACGACTGTGAAGTGATAATACATTAGTAGTTGTAAAGGTACACTGATTGAAATTCCTCGTGAAATCAGACACCGTACCTAAACAGTTTTGTTTTAAATAAATCTGTCGGTAAGTAGTTCAAAATTAGGTTCTTACTGTCTCTATTTTCGATACATCGTTTGAATAGTGGTGCTGCAGTGTGCCAGTGTTTCAACTCTCTGAGGGATCTTGATATTTCGAGTTTCGATCTGGTTGATTAAAATGATACGAATTATAGTATTAAATTAATATCAATAATTTTTTTTTAGAATGTATTTTAACCGAGTATTGATATACTCCTGTCAAGTTATTTCTCATTTCAATATCAAATTAATATTATCATTCACCCATAAAATATCTTAAAATAGAATTAAACTGATCACTGAAGATATTTTACAAGAAATTTGGAAAACAAAAAGCTCCGTAAAACTGTAACTATGATCGAATAGTAAAATGAATTTCATTTTAACCGTCTAACATTGACAGAATCCAGGCACCGTCATGAAATCAACCATGAACTTCATGAAGATAACCCAATGTTACAATCGGTTCTGGAAGCGAATATTTATGTTCTCAGTGCTCGTATGGGTGTATTTATTTTATGTGACTTTTTATTTCAATTGCGAAGAACCCTTCGATGATGATCTAGAACAAACGCTTGCGATATCACTTCAACATCTCGACGAGGAGCACCGAACCAACGTCGAACTGACAGAAATGAGGAACGATCTAGTTCACAAGTACGTCATGATGAAGTTGTCTTTCATTATATTTCTGACATCGACCTAGTAATCGGTACCTATACTATAATATATTATTATACCACAAAAAATGCAGAGTTTGGAACATATTAATTAATCAGTTCATATATCCCATGCAGAATTATTAAAGTATAGTATATACTCACGAAATCGTCGACTAAATTTAAATTGCTTACAACAAATTATTTCTGAATAAAGTTAAATAATTGTTGTGTCACTTGTACGGCATGTAATCTAAGGTTATAGTTGTAATTTATTTAACTCTCATCTAGCTAGTGTAATGAAATATTATAATATGAATAATTATTGAGTACGATATTATTTATTATAATATAATAATCGCTTACGTTTATATTTTATGTTTTATGTTTTTAGACTGAGATTCGACGAAAAAAAAGTACACAAGTCATCCTATTACAGTATTTTTTTATATTATCTATTAATCATACCAATAACGCACAAAATATCATTATGTACAGACGTTCGCATTTTTTGATGTTTTGAAATAATGTATTGTGTGGCAATGGTGGGAAGTGAGCAATTTCAGTCGGGGATGACGTGTGTGGCAGGATTTGGGAGTCGCATTTCGCACAAGACTGAAATTGCACTAGCCACACATAAATTTTTTGTCACACCTCTGCGTTCATCGATCACGGCAAAGGTGATATCCCTGCAGCAACCATACTATTCTGAGAAAACAATATTTCATGAAAGAAACTTTGGTTTTATTTATTTTAAGAGTCATGAATGTTATTATAATATTAATATAACATGTAACAAAAAGTTTATGTTTTGTAAGGACAGTGATAAGACTTTACTATACATAATAATAATAAAATAAAATAAGAATAAAAAAAAATGTTACGATAACAATTTCATGAAATAAAAATGTTTATGCATCATGCAAGCAGGCGATGATATGTAATCAAAAGTTTAAGTTTTGTAAGGATCGTGGTATAGATTTCAGTGTCTGGAAGTACAGGGGATACACATAAAATTAACGCCACATTGAAAATTAAAAGTCGTGGAGTAATTAAATATTTAGAAAATAAATTTTGGTTTGTCTCAGAATAAAATATTTTAAAGTAGAACCGGAAAGTCTGTCATTGAGAAATAATAATACATGTCAATATTAATTACTCATCTTACAGATGAAGAAGAAAAAGAAATTGTTACACCCACCGACTGAAAAGTACGAGTTGTTGCGTCGCCGTATTTATTCAAACACTAAAGAAGTTTGGTATTACATCGGTTCCACATTACGGTCATTGGCCAACGAGTTCGATGATTTGAAACCGAAAGTTTCTGATATGAAAAAAATGGTGGACGAACACTATAGATCGTTATTGAGAGATGTCGCCAAGTTGGCCGATGTCGACGGTTATACACAGTGGAGGTTGAAAGAGTTTGGCTCTTTGAGTAGACTGGTCGAAAAGAGACTTCGACATACGCAGAATCCACCCGACTGTTCCAAAGCTAGAAAACTCTTGTGCAATTTCGTCAGCGTAAGTTAGTCTAATCCAACTATTCTGTAAAAGTGTGAATTATTTAACACATCCTTCATAGATAATCAAATATAAATCCTAAAATAAAGAATATTTAAATTAATGAATTACTAATTTAATTACTCATTGTTTTTAGTGTATACAGGTTGTAAATATTACTCACATGTATAATAAATATTATATTTATTTGAATTTATTAATATGGTTGTTAAATCAGTGGCAGTCAAATAATCGTATCATGTGGTTGTGATGAGGTCTTATTTTTTATTATAACTATTTGATCATTAACAATATAGTTTGTAATTTATATTATATTAAGTATCGATAAAATTGTCATGGTCCTGAATCATGACTTCTAACCTACATAAGGTTGACTGTCACTGTTCTTAATAAATAATTTTAAATAGTATACATGGCACTTATAGAGTTGTCCACGTAAGAATTGTTGTGGATATGGATGTCGCGTACACCATTTCGTCAAGTGCTTGATTGTCGCCTACGCTACCGAGAGGACAATGATTATAGACAATCCTAAAAAATGGGAGTTTACTAGCCGTGGTTTTGAAAATATATTTTTACCACTTAGTGACACTTGTACGTCAAATGACGGTGATACAGTTTCGCTTTGGCCAGGTATTTGAAACGTTGATCATAATAAATGAAATACACAAACATTTTTCTCGTACATTTAGATTATAAAAGTCTCTATATAATTATTCAGTTTCTCTTATATGTTGTTTTATGTATCTATTTATTAACAATTTTGAACCCCCTCCCACTGACAAAATGTTTCTAAATGAGTGACAAAATGATATCTAATAAAAAAAAGCTAAATTAAAATATGTTTTATTTCACAAACCTAAGTAATAAATTATGATTAATAATATTATTATGTATTATCAATATTATTATTTAAATGCATGATAATAAAACAAATGCATACTTACATCTCTTGAATGGACCCTCATCACACAAAAATTTCGAATTTCACTAATGACACTCATTACGCAATGATTGAATTAACTAAAACATTAGGAAGTGCGTCTTTGTGCCAGTAGCTATGGACCAGTGCCCCGTCCACCCCACTATAGGATTAGTATCTAAGTGTAAAGTGTATTATTTTATATTTGTACCTATAGGTATGATCGTATACCAAAACCATGCAAACGTTATTAACAATTTCGTTGAGTTTATCGATTAAATACATAATATTATAATTTACAGGCAATGAAACCACTCAAGTCATAAATTATATTGTGCCCACACCTGAATTTGCTGCCAAACATTTCCATCCTCCTTACATTCCGGTCGTGTTGCCCGAGGACTTAGCTGGACGAATAAACGTCTTACATGGCGATCCCGCTGTATGGTGGATAGGCCAGTTCTTCAAATACATCTTCCGTCCGCAACCATCCACTACCATTGCGTTCAACCAGTTTGCCAAGCGTGTGCATTTCCAAAAGCCAATTGTCGGGTAAACATATTTATATTACGCCGTATCGTTTTATTGACACATCTCGCAAAGCGTATTGAAATATTAAATTAAATCAATACAATATATTTTACCGTATTTGCCACAATTATTAATTTTGAAAATACCGGTCGTGATTAAGTCAAGTTTACATATTATAAACAAATAAGAACGTAGTTAACCAGAGCCCAGAGGTGGTATGAGTATGATGATGATAGATGTTGATGAAGTGCGTCACTAATATACCTGGGTACTTGTAAGTCGTATTATGTACAATTTCAATATCCAATGAAGACATTTTTACTTATAAATGATAGTCGTATTTGGAACAAGATATTTAGCCAGTAACAAGACGATACTTTAATAGAACTTGTTTATTAGTTTCTCATTCTGTGTGAACAATACGTAGGTAATGTTGAGATGGTGTTGGTATGACCTGAACTCGAAGACCGAGTGGCGGTCGGGCCGTAGCTGCAGGTCGCGATGTCGCCGGTAGGCGATGTCCCAACCCGTGTTCCGACATGCTCCCTCTCTCCTAAAGTCACCGATTCAATGACCAGTTGAGAAGTTTTGGTGTGGCAAGCGAAAACCCATATATTGGTTAACGACCTCGAAAGCTGTTGATGAAGAGTACCAAAAATCTTAATTATAATATATTATATAATTTAAATTTATAATGAAGACGTTAATGACTCATAAGTGATAATCGCAGTGGACTTCTGTAGCTACTGAGTGGGTGTGGGGAGAAGATGGGTCTATGTATATTGCAAATGAAAAAACTAGCTGGTAGTCTCCACTTATTGGACTTTGGGACCAGATGATATATTTTTAATAGAAATGTATTACAATAAGAAATTTAATTTGGCTATATAATAATAAATGTGTTTCAAATGTAAGTTATACTTTTTAAAGAAAAATAACATAAAACATGTGCGTAACGCTGGCAACCGAAAATTTGAAAATAAACTCAAATATCACTTCAGTAATTTTTATACAATTTTTTTCAAATTTGTAACCACAATTCTAAAACTAGTACATCCTCCCATCATTCTAAGATCCGAAATTGATTTGCGGGTGCCAGGATCACGTGACGCTGCCACCCGGTTTTTGATATACTTGGGTTATCAACTCAAAAACCACAACATTAATTGTTACACATTTGTACAAATTGCACAACAATTACTGAAGAGGTTTTTGTGTTTAATTTCAAACTTGCGGATGCTATAGAGTCACGCACCTACATAAAACTTGATAAAGATAACAATAATAAATATTTTTTTTTTTTTCAAAAATTTAAAGTAAAATACTAAAATATGATAAATTTGGAAGTATGTCTTTGAAATTGGAGAATATTTACAGCAATAAAACCGGTGTAGTAAGTCCAATAGAAAAACTGTCCTTATGTGTATTAGTATATTCATTGGCGCAACTAGACATTTGAAGTAGGGGGTGCTTAAGCTCCAGGTTTTTTTGTGACTCGATGGGACCCAACTCCACTATTTGCCTATATTAACCACTAAAACAAAACATAATACGAATGACATTTTTTTTAACATGTGCAGAAGACCTTTGAACAAAATGTCTTATAGTTATATTATACTCAAGTTATTATAGTCTACATAGTATACTTATATTAATATAAAATACAAAGTAATATATTAAATTATTACCAATTGCTTGAGCCACTTCTTTGTTTATATCTTCATTTATTTCATTTTGTAAAATATTTACTATTACACCAAAACTATTATGTACTGCTTTACAATTTTTAAGACGACACGACCACCGCGTTTCACATAATCTAGAAATCGATAATGATTTTATTTGCATGGATTTCTGTAAATCTTGTAATAGCTTATCTTTGCCAGGCTGTGAAAAATGCACATAAACTGCTTCTAGAGTATTAAAAAAGGTATTAGATTCCTGTAAAAGATAATGATTAAATTGATTATAAAAAATAATGGGTACATATATTATAAATTGTAACGTACATAAAAATGTATTAAATATTATTTAAGTATTTATTATTATTTGTTATGCACCTTAATAGTTCTACAAGTATTTGTTACAACCAAATTCAATTTATGGGCCATACAATGAATGAAAATTGCTTCAGGGTGAGAGTCTCTTATTCTAGTTTGAACACCAGATGTGGATCCTGACATAACATTTGCACCATCGTATGTTTGTGCCACAAGAGGAATATCAGAAATGCCAAATTTTTTTAGAACAGAGAGAATTTCAATAGAAATATGTTCGGCTCCTCTCCCATTTGATACATCATAAAATCCAATAAATCGTTCACATACATTATAGCTATTAGGAATAATGTATCTAACACATATTGATAATTGTTCTGTTTTATAAGATCTAATAGAAAAAAAATTATGAAAATAAAATTATATTAAAATATATTACCTACTAACTTATTTCTAAGTAATAGGAAAAAATATAATCTGTGGTAATAGTGTATTACCTTGCTTCATCACACATAATAGAGTACATTCCACAGTATTTTATTTCACTAATGATAGTATTTATTGTCATATTTGAACAAACTTCAAGTATACTATTTTGAATAATCCAACTTGTATAGTTAATTTTTCTGTTAAAAAAGTCTGAAAACTCTTTATCGTTCATTGCAAATAATGTACAAAGCTCTTTAAAATTTCCTGTAGATAAATAATTTATGATTTACAAGCTATTATACTATAAGTGATAGTAGCGGTACTAAAATGAAAACATATCTTCCTACCAGTATTAGAAACTGTTGATGACTTTTCATCATGACCTCTTAGAGCAAGTCCCTGTTTAGCACAAAAGAGGGTTATATTTATCTTATTACAGTTAATTATTATTTATTTCATTTTTACTTACTTGAAGTTTAGGTTGCTTTGGGCCCGAATCAATATCACCCAAATCAACAGACTGTATATTCAAATTTAAAACATTATTTTTTAGTTGAATGTTTTCATCATCATCATTATGTTCATCGTTCTGTTCATGGTTACATATTTTCTTTGCTTTTGATTCATCACTATGAGTTTCGACAGTCTCGTCCAAATTTTTTGTTGATGTATTTTGTTTAACTTGGTTTTTAAAATTAAAGATTGAAAACATGATTAAAATCGATTAATTAACACTCGTAAGTCGTAATAAACATACAATTGACGATGCAATATCGATCAATATATAATTTTTAGCAATAATAATATAACTATATAAGAAACGCCTCTAACACACCACATACGTAATACACTAATACGTAAGTTGTGGCGTATCGGCGTATAGCCCGTATGCCAGACGTCATTATGACGAGAATATTTCCGTCCCTCGGGGAATACCAATACCAGATTATATTAGTATGTTAGGTAGGTACTGATAAATATACTATACAGATATATTATATAGCACAGACTATTTAAAATAACTAGGCCGCTTCGGCATCCTTATTTCCACTAAATTAAAATCAACACATCCGATAATTCAACATTATAAATAACAAAATGTTATATTATAAAAATTATTATTGTTATAACTTATAATTATTGTAATTCGATAAATTTTTAACTTTTTTTTCAAATTTTTAAACTATTTTTTAGGGGGTGCTAATTTTGACTTGGGGGGTGCTAAGGACCCAAAGCACCCCCCCTAGTTGCGCCAATGAGTATATTTAAGTGTAAACCGGGACCAGACAATTTATTGAGTCCATAAGACGTGAATCTAATAAGCGGCAACTAGTGTACTTTCAAACCATGTCTGGGTACGCTAGGCTGTCTTATTGCTATAGGTCACTGGTGTTATACAGTTATGGATAAAATTAAGTGTTGGTGTGCAGATTGCATGTCAGAAGAACGGACAAACTTATCAGAGAAGCTTCGTTGCACAGACTCGAAGAGTATATGTACCACGTTGAAGAATATTACAAGCTCAAAGAATTAAACGGCGAATACGACACGAAACGCATTTATTTGGCCACTGACGAGCCAACATTGTTTGATGAAGCTAGACTCAAGTGTGTTCGAAATTTTCTATTTTAAGCTAGTATATTATTAATTATTATACTTTCATTTATTTGCAAACAATTTAAATAATATATCATGATTTATTAGATATCCTGAGTACGATATTATCGGTGATCCAGAAATATCCAAATCTGCAGGGTCTCTTCAAAAGCGTGAGTTGGACGATTCGATTATGAATATCATCACCGACATATATTTTCTGTCTCATCACTGTGACTACTTAGTTTGTACTTTTTCGTCAAATGTATGTCAAATTTGATTTTCATTATGCATTATCATTAATAACTAATTATAAAAGTGAACATTTTTATGTAATGGTTCAGATAATAATAGATAGAAGGGATGGAAAATATTAAAATAATATTTGATTTATTACTTGTTAATCAAATGTACAACAAAAGGCTATGTCAGTATATTAGATTTTGTAGGTTATAGCTTCAAAATTGAATGCTTATAATGAAAGTTTTAGTGAGCGTTCTTAAAAATATTTAGGAGAATTTTTAAAGAAAAAAAAAACTTTAAACTACTTTCAAAAATCCGTCGAATTAGTTCACAGAGACAGATACATCAATGGCCTGAGGTACACTAAAACCTATGTATTATGTACATATATGTACCTATAAACCGCATATATTACGTTTGTTCATTTTTTTCACGTTCAAAGTCTGAGTAAACATATAACACATTTCTGCACTTTTAAAAGTATATAATAACTTACTTATACACGTTGATTTAATAGATATAAAAAATAATTAATAACAGTATGTTTGAAAATCATTCACATCGTATTATTCTCGTAGCCATAAACGATAAGGAGTTGAATCCCAGGTAATAAAGATATCATTTTTTCTCAGTAAATTTGCTAAATATAATATGATGTTTTCTATGCAAAATGTGTTATCTCTATTTTCTATAAAATCGAGTTATACATCGATTCTTATGGAAAAACAGGCGATAAATCGATTAAAACTGTTACTTTTTGTCAAAACGTACTGTTTCCTAGCGGAAATTAAGCTTGAACTTTTACATTTTTTTTAAAAAGCGTTATTTCCAATAGATTGTTTTTTCAAAACGTTTTATAACCATAAATTAATTCATAACGTGTTAATTACATTTTAATAATTAATATTCATCATAATACCATATTACGGATTATTTCCATGACAAAAATAAATACTTAGAAATGTTATTATAGTAATTTTATTCGTCATGGATATTACTAACTCCTAAGTTTTAAAAAAATTATTGAACTAATAGAAGCTATGGTGAAATCTAAGCGAGCCAAGCTTATTTTTAATTACCCATAATATGTTCTAACTTTGCCGGTTTGTTTGCCACAGACAATCACTATTCCTGAAAAAAGCAGTTCCTGGAAATAACACGTTTTGCATAGAAACACCTCATATTTATATATGGAATTGAACAAAACACAGTAGTAAAGTACTAGCCGGATAATCATCGGTACTGTCTTTGCCATTATAACATATGTAGAAAAAGAAGGTTATAACTAATATAAAATCTTTTAATAATATGGTTCGATGTCATGATATGTATTTTGTGGGGCATTTTCTGATATAATACATACCAGTCACATAAATACTAGATTATATCAGCCCAATGCGTCATGCTGATACAATATTAAACATGTTAATTTCATATAACAGAAAGAGTTAAATAAAATTATTATTTTCGTAAATACGTTTTCATTGAGTTGTGTATACGTTGCAGGTGTGCCGGTTATCCTATGAAATTATGAACAGCCTCCAACCAGATGCATCAGCCAAGTTCACTTCCTTGGATGACACATTTTATTTTAGTGGTCAAGTGCACAGACTGAATGTAGCTTTAATATCTCATAAATCAGAAGGACCGGAAGAGATGGATCTAGAAGTAGGTGACGAGATCGAAGTAGCTGGAAATCATTGGGACGGTTATTCAAAGGGGACAAATTTGAGAACAAAGAAAACACTATTGTATCCTACTTTTAAGGTAAAATGTTATGTGAAAACAAATATTTATACTTACGTAAATACCTGTGTCACAGTCATTTGAGTGTACCTAAACTTACAACTCAAAACTGTAAAAACTATGAAGTCCATTTAAACATTAAAATTCTAGAGTTATTAGATCTCTTAAAATAATTATTTAAAAGCTCCAGAAAAAACTAAGTAATGACAATAATCGTTGAAAAAATAATTATTAATTTATGCAACACGCCAACACCCTATTTAAATCTATATGTATTATTTATTTTATATAATTTAAATGCCTAAAGACTTAATATTTAATACGAGGCTTCTAATACATTGTTACAATAGTAGTTAAAAAATCTTAAAAATACATAGTCACATTTTTTTTATAAGAATTTAAATTTCATATCTTGTTACGTAAATTTCACGAAAATTTGCAAAATTTAGTGTTAGAAATTCATAAAAAATTTTCTTTTTAAATCTAAGATTTGAAAATGCAATACAAGATTCCTCATAAGATTGTCTAATTTTATAAAAAAAAATTCTCTACTGGAAAGTCAAATTAAATTTCTATGAGCGTTTGCTCTGCTGTACTGTAGGTTACAAGTTTGTCACTGTATAATGGAAGGTATTAAATTTGAATTCAATGATATAATATATTAATATCATTGTATAAGAAAAATGATTCTGAGGGGAGACGGTATGTCAGGTTAGGTATAGGTAAAACATATTATATACTTATCTATGGTATTAAAAAAAATTGACCTATAATAGGTACTCACTAACAGAATTAACTACTTACCTACGTGAAATCTTGTTTTAAATTTTCAATCCTTAGATATAAAAGTTGAACATTTTATAAATTTTTAACTAAAAAATAATTATTCAATTTTAAATTTGATAAATTTTGTCAAAATTCGATCTTTAAATGCTTATAAAAAAAAATTGTGTATATGTATTTTTAATATTTTTCAACTGATATTGTAACAATATATTAGTAGCCTTGTATTAAATTTTTACACTTTTTGGCCCAACAGATAAAACTTTATTGATATTTATAGAAAAAAAAAAACTGAAAAAATTGAAAACTGTAATTGTAAGTAAACAGCTCAAAAAGAGTCAAAATATTTTCAAAATTGTATGGTGTATAGAAAATTCTAATATGAATATCCAGTGAAATTTTCATGTATCTACAGTTATTCGTTTTTGAATTACAACAAAATAAAGAAATCGAGTGAATAGGAATCCTATGTTGTAAAAATTTGAATTTCAAACTCTCATAAAAATTTAATTTGACTTTCTTATTGATATTTTTTTTTTGTTAAAGATAGATAATCTTATAAGGAATCTTGTATTATATTTTAAAATCTTAGATTTAAAAAGAAAAAGTTTTATGAATTCTTAACTCAAAATAATTTACTAATTTTCGTGATTTTTCCATATTTTGTCAATTTTTGAACTTTAAATGCTTATAAAAAAAAACTGTGACAAAGGTTTTTTAATATTTTTCATCTGCTTTTGAAAAAATATACTAGGAGCCTTCTATTAAATTTTCAAGCATTTTTAACCAACAAATAAAATTTTATTGATATTTTAAGAAAAAAAACTAAAAAAAAATAGAAAATGAAAATGTAACTAAACATCTCAAAATAAATCAAAATATTTTGAAAATTTAACACCATCCATTACAGTAACCCACTTAAAACCTACTGTACAGCAGAGCGAAACCCACTTACCCACTTTTTTTTTTTTTAATATTCCTAAAAGCAATAAAATTCTTTTTGTTCAAAAAAATAAATGAAGTGGCCTACTCACAAGTATTTGGTCTCACGTTATCGGAGGGAGGATGACTTCACGGATGTATAACAAATTATTATTTAAATATAATAACACATAATTAATAAAACTCATGAGTAATAATTTATGCTTAATTACATTATTATTTGATTTTAGGTAACAACGAAAATTGAAGTTTTTCCATTTGCCAGTTATCCAAATATCACTTTAAATACTTGGACTTAGAAAGAAGAAATGTATAAAAACTGTATTTGTATTTATTACTTAAATGTTATGACTGTAGAATAAAAAAAACATAATAATATGATTTTTAAAAAATAAATTTGGT